TAACTTGTTAGTGTTGGAATTGGTGTATGATCTCCTAATCTTTTCTTGTACTAGACTAGTCCAGAAGTGAAAATGCTACTCTGGAGGGTTTCTTTTCTATATTTGCTGGTCTTAATATTTTCATCACTTGGTGAAACACAACAAGATTGTAGATACATGCAAAAAAAAGCAAAATGTACAAGTAAGATATTTGGAATTATCATACTTGAAATAACTTTGTGAAGTTTATCCTTCTCTTTCACAGTAAAAACCTTTTTGTAAATGCTTTATATGGGTGTGGGGAGGAGGAAAGAAAAATAAATAGAAAGATTTCCACTTGAAGTTATAAAGTTGAGTATGCTTAGCAAGGAGTAAAGCTAAAAGTTCCATTGAGCCCAACCCAGTTCACTAATTATATATTGAGGACTTACCGGTCTCTAGACTGGGTGCTGCTAAACCAAGATGGAAAGAAATAAAACATGCATGACATAAGGCTTTCGAACCTACAAATAAAAAGTCACAGTGCAGGGACACCTTGGTGGCTCAGTCAGTTTAGCATCTGACTTCGGGTCTGGTCATGATCTCATGGTTCGTGGGTTCGAGCCCCGCTTTGGGCTCTGTGCTGACAGCTGAGAGCCTAGATCCTGCTTCAGATTCTGTGTCTCCTCTCTCTCTCTCTCTCTCTCTCTCTCTGTCCCTCCCCTCTCACATTCTGTTTCTCTCTCTCTCAAAAATAAACATTAAAAAAAATCCCAATGGACATTATAAATGTCAGTTTCATATTGAGCAAGAAAATACCATAAATATGGAAAGTCTTTATTTAAAACAACTGGGCTGATTCTAATAGAGTTCTATATTATTTCATAGGAAAAACATATACTTTAATTTTTTTTAATGCAAAATGTTTTTGTACAAGCACGCATAAGGAGATTGTTTTCCCCTCTACTATTAAGATTTCTTTGAGATATAGTGGCTTTGGCTTTCTTAGAGAATTGAATTTTAGACCTCTGAAAGCCCTTGGTATAAAATATTTTCCCAGCATGAGAAAATAGGGTTCCCACTCGATACAAGTGAGATGAGTAGGGTTATTTAGCTCTCCTAGGAGCAAAGGGCAAGATGGGGGGCAGAGCTGGTCCCAAATCCTGGTCTCTGCCCTTGGTCTAGCTTTGTTTTCCACCTGCATTGCAGGGTACCATGGGCAGTCTTTCTCTCCAAGCTATAGAAGTAGTGTGGTATAAATGCCACCAATTCATTTGCATAGTTGAGGAATAAAGATAATTGGACAAGAGAGAAAAATTGAAGATTGATCATTGCTTTCCCTTGTCTTTTCTTTTTCTTCTTTCTTCTTCCTAAAAAATAGTTATCAATTTTTCCTAAAAGATCTGTTGTGACATAATAATCACTATTTTAAATTACATAAATTCTACATGAAATTAATATAATAATTATAATTATATTTATTAATATTAATTTACAGTATTTATAATTTATATTTATAAATGATCTATTTATAAAAGATATAATAACCTAGAACAGGTTAATAATCTATATATATAATAGATATAATAACCTATTATATATTATGTATAAATATATAATATAGAGGAAGTAAGTATAATTCCACTCTGAACATTTGGTCAGTTAGATGGGAAAGCCTGTCAAGGGAAGAGAACGGAGAAACAGTGCTGCCCCTCAGAGAAATCCACAGAGAAACACATACATGCACACACACACACACACACACACACTCTACAGGGAATAGGAAAGTGACAGAAAAAGAGCTTCTGGTCTGAAAATTGTCAGTAAATTTATTTGGTTTTATCCTGCTGTTTCCTCCGTCTCTCCGATTAGCCTCTATTACTGCCTTTTCAAATGCAAATTAGATTACCCTCTTATCTTTGAGCTTCATTTGCTCTGGGCCTTCAGTATTTAGTGGCCCTGCGCTGCGTGGGAATATGACATACCAACTCACCGGAGTGGAAATACTCCAGCTTCAGCAGCAGGGACCAGAGAAATCAATTTGTGAGCCAAGAAGCTGGCGGTGCTTCGTCCTGGCAACCCATTACAATCATCTGGGGAGCTTTTAAAATATATCCACACTGCCCTTCACCCTTGACCAACTAAATCTGAATCTTTTAATATTTTGGGGTAGGGCCCCTGGGGCTCAGTATTTAAACACAAACAGGCAAGCAAATAAACTCTCGGAGGGGGTTCTCATATGTCCCCTGAATTCTGAACCACTGGGTCCAGAAAATTCTCTACTCCTGCATGAGGGTCTTAAAATTTACGGCAAAAAAATCTCTTCAGAAATTTTGAAGGAAACGTTGTCCTTTGATTTTCAAATAACTAGAGGATGTTTAAAATGTAATTTTATCCCTTTATTATTTTCATCTTTTATGCCTCTTTTTTTGCTGTTTTAAATTGTTTTTCTATTCTCTTACCCCACATTGTCATAACTTAATATTTCAGATGTTGCTGCTTATTACCTGTTTCACAAAGGTTCTGGAAGGTTTTTGTTTGGTTTTGTACCTTCTCCCTCTGTTCTTCGTTTAAAGTAGGCATTCAAAGGAGATCAGTACTGTAATAGGAGGCACTTTTATTCTGACTCGTGATCAGTTAATATGTATCCTTTCTGGCAAACAGATGGGGAATTGAACATAGAGCTTTTCTTTTCTCCCGAGTAGCTGCTTGAGTAGGGATTATATAATAAATACCACAAAAGGACTGCTCAATCAAAAGATTTTACATTAAGTGAAGACAAAAATGTCCCAGCCATGTTGGGTGTTTTGTCACAGGACAAAGAAGCTGTGTGTCTCCCTACCAGGTTACTCGGTGACTGACTCAGAAACAGTTTTTACTTTATTCAGGGAAAAATCATCACAATTAAGTTGTCTGTTCTGAAATTAGTACTGTATCTTTTTCTTTTACAAAAGCCAGTAAAACACGAGTGCTTAAAATAGATCTTTGAAAAAGCCCAAGTGACAAACACAGGTGTTCCCATCATAAAAATTACCACTCCCTTTCTCATGGGGCTATTAAAATGATTTTTTTCCATCTCACGTAAGTAGCATTTATTTTACATATTTTATATTATTTATATATAAGTATATAAAGTATAAACATAAAACATTTTATGTTTATATAAACAAAATATATTACATATAAGTGTTATGTATTTCTCATTTTCTATTTAAGGACTTAAATAAGTTTTGTCTAATGGTGTATCTTTCCTCCAGTATTGTTGGACTGGACTATATCACAGCTCAAGCATTCCTAGAAGCTGGGTGTTTGATTCACTTGTTTTCCTTATTTATCACTTGATGGTGGGTTCAGTCTATCTGTCTATCATAACACAGAATCTCATTGTAATCAATTCAGTTGCAGAGGGATTATTCAGGACGCTCTATAGCTTCTAGCATTTCAGCAATGCAACCCCGAGTTCTGTGGCTGCTGAACTCTTCATGGTCTATTTGGTTCCCAGACGTTTATTACAGCTGCTTTTAAGTCTAAATATTGATGTTGAGAATTTTCTGGAAATTTAAATAGATAAAAATATGTGTTCTATCCCCTTGCACTTGACTTTTAAATAATACAAAAGAAAGAGGGACAAATATATGTTGCATATGAAAGTTAGTGTTTGGGAGAGCTTGCTTTACTTCAGTCTCACCAGGAAGTTCCATGAACTTCCATTTATATTTACAAATAATTTGAAATATTTTGAAGTAAAGTTGCAAATGCAACTGATACCAAAAGATAAGATGTTATTGCAAAAAAGAATAAGCATTTCTATCTTAAAATTTGTCTACAGTTTCCTTGTATTGATTTCCTTGATTGTATGTTTCTGACTGGCCTCTGTTTTTAGTAGACAAACAGGACAATCCTCCAAGCAGAGAGGTAAAAAAGGGGACACACCTGGAGGGAGCACCTGAGTGGCTCAGTCAGTTAAGCATCTGACTTTGGCTCAGGTCGTGATCTCACAGTACACGAGTTCAAGCCCTGCATGAGGCTCTGTGCTGACAGCTCAGAGCCTGGAGCTACTTCAGATTCAGTCTCCTCCCCCCCCCTCTGCCCCCCCATCAAAAATAAATAAACATTAAAAATTTTTTCAAAAAGGAAAAGAAAAGAAAGGGGACACCCTTGAGTGATGAGAGAACTGAGGCCCAGGAGTGTTTAACTGGAGATCCATCTAACCTGATCTAAGGATGTCTGCTCTTGTCAGCTTTCTCATCTCTGTGTTTCTGACAGTTGGCTTTGAACTTAACTTTCGTTTCTGTCTGTATCTTTTGCTTGTCTTCTAGACTCTTCCTCTTTCTTCCTGCCCCTGTCCTATGGCAGGGCCTTTCCTGTCTGAAGGTTTGACTTTATTTCAGACATTCTGGAAGCTTTCTTGCTGTATCTGAAATATTTGGGATGATCCTTGAAATTTTGCTGTCTTCCTGTTGACATGTTTGTGGACATGCTACATGTCTGGGCTACAGAAAGTGCCCTGTATTAAAGATGAACTGTCAAACAGATTCAGCGACGATGAAGTATCTAAGATACGTTATTTGTCTTCAGTTATTTTTTTTAAGGAACATGATAAATTAATCTTATTTTCTCAGAGTCTTTCTGTGTAACTTAAAGCTATTTCTCTCCTAATTATACTTCCCATTTTTATTTAGGACAGTGAAATGAAATACTACCTTTGGATTTTATATAACTAGATAGATGCTAAAGAAAGATTGTTTTATTTTTTTTTTGAGTTATTGTGTTACATTTCAAGGTTTGTAAATATATTAAAATTCAAAAGTCACCAAAACTACCGGACTGTTCATTACTCTAACTTATTTCTTCCTTTGAGAAGTAATAGGGAATCAGTAGAAGGAATATGGAGAAACTTCTTCTTCCCCTGGCTTGTGTAAACTGTGTCTCCATGCACCTATAAGCACCCCTTCAAAAGGTGGTGTTCACACTTGGCTATTGATCAAGCTTCCAAATATTCTTCTTCTTCTTTTTTTTTTTTTTTTTTTTTTCAATTACAGAATTGACTCCTGAGGAGAGGGCCCAAAAGATTGCCAAGGCCATGCGCAAACAGTCCTCTGAAGTCAAAGAGAAGTGGGAAAGTCTAAACGCTGTCACTAGCAATTGGCAAAAGCAAGTAGACAAGGCATTGGAGAAGCTCAGAGATCTGCAGGGTGCCATGGATGACCTAGACGTTGACATGAAGGAGGTGGAGGCTGTACGGAATGGCTGGAAGCCCGTGGGCGACTTACTCATCGACTCACTGCAGGATCACATTGAAAAAACCATGGTCAGCATCCCTGTCTCAGATAAAAGATTTGAAGGAATGTTTTATTGTTAAGTATAACACAAAGAGAGCCACATATAAAACCCGTTATAAGGGAGTTTATGAAATCAGTCCCATTACAACTCCACCAAAATCAGGATATAGAGCTTTCCCAGTCACACAGCAGGTGTTTTCCATATGCCCCTCACCATGGGAACCCCCTCCCCACCAAAATAATAATTAATGATTTTCACAATAATTTACTCTTATTCTTCTTTATACTTATTTTTTTAACCAACTCTGTGTCTCTAAACACCGATGTATTTTTTTTTTAAATATTGTAGAGTCCCTTTTAATCCCTAGATCTCCCCTCTATCCTTTTTTTGTTTCCTTTGCAATGTATTTGTTTAAGAAACTGAATTGTTTGTTTTATAGTATTTCTCACAGCCTGGGTTTTGCAGTGTGGCATCCACATGGTGACCCTGGGCAGGTTCCTCTCTACTCTGTAGTTCCTGTAAATTGGTAGCTGGATTTCGAGACTTAATGAAAAACATGCTGTTTTACTGAGGACTCTTATGTAAAAACTTTATCTCACTGTCTGAGTGTATTATGGAAGGATTAGTTTAGCTATAAATTTTGTTTGTGGTCAGGAATTGCCCAAAATTAAGGATGATAGATCTGTGGTCTAGAGCCCCTTTGGTTCCCATATTCTAGAACATATCCAGAAAAAAAGTTAATAGAATTTAAGCAATAGGAGACACAGTAGTAGGGTTTATGGTAGCCTAGTAAACTATATGGTAGGTAGTCATGAACCAAATCAGAGAATGCACCCATGAAACATCAGAAGCTGTTAGATGACAATATCAATATTGTGAATGTGATTTTTATTGCAAAAGATACATATCTTTTGTGCACAGACATTGGATAACACTTTCCCTTTGTTTTATGCGTGCGGCTAAGTAGGAAAGTGAAGGGTCTAGGAAATGAACTGAGTATGCAGGCTAATTATATAAGTAAATATATGTACATGTAGACATAGGATAATAATGACTAGCATTAATTGAGGCTTTCTGTGTGCCAGGAACTGTTCTCAACCAGTGTACCTCAATACCTCTTTTAATCCACATACCAACCCCACGAGATAGGTGTTGTTAAGCCCATTTTATAAATGGCAGAAGTGTAGGGACACCTGGGTGACTCAGTTAAGGGTCCGACTCTGATTTTGGCTCAGGTCATGATCTCACAGTTCGTGAGTTTCAGCCCCATATTGGGCTCTTCACTGACAGCTCAGAGCCTGCCTGGGATTCTTTCTCTCCCTCTCTCTCTGCCCCTCCCCTGCTCCTACTCATTCTCTTTCTCACTCTCTCAAAATAAATAAATAAACTTCAAAAAATGACAGAACTACAGATATTGCCTAAGCCCACACAGCTAGTAAGTGGTAGAGTTTCCGTGATTTCTTTCTTGCTCTTTCTTCTCTTTCACTGTAGAAACCTCACTCATATTAATGTAATTAAGCACAACTCTGATCAGCTCTTTGAATTCAGTGCTTTGAAAGTTACAGATTGAACTTGAAACTTAAAAAAATTTCACTACTAAGGAAGCATTGGTGTCTCCCGCCTTTCATTATAAATATGCATAAATGTGCAGAACTCTATGAGTTAAGTCAGCTTCCTCTGACAGCTCTGGTCTCCTGAAAGACATTTCTGTGGATGAATCTGAGTTTAAAATAATGAACCGAAAATAAAGCCTTTCAGTATAGGTTCTTTGGAAGTGACACACACACTTCTTGCCATGTAAACGATTTTTTTTTTAACGCTGGAAATCTTTAAGTCAGTAGTTTCTAAACAGCATATTTTTTTGGACTACAAACATGCCTCTTGGTTAGAACAAGAATTTACCCATTTGAATTTGAAAGTATGAAGTTTTAATTCAGGATGACTAGTGTTGAAGGAAAAAATGAAAAGTTGTATCTGGCCTAAAAGTTGTTAAAGGCCTAAAAGTTTGGGAGTTGTTAATCCCATTTGATTAAAGAAATTACCCACTTCTGCACCTAGATTCTTTTGTTCAATTCACTGCTTAAATGGAAAGCCAGGAGAAATACAGTTAATAGTTAAGAGAAAGGAATAAACTGTGGATTAAAATATTTTAACATCTTATTAGGAAAAAAAGAAAATAAAACCCGCATCTCATTAAACCAAGCAAAATGGATTCAAAATCTGGGATGTTTTACATGTACTCTAAAGTATACGCCAAATCCCCCTGAAGCTGTTGGCAGGTGAAAATAAGTACTGATTATTGCTAAATATTATTAAATGTGTCAAAGCAACTGGAAAACAAAATCTTTGGGGGTAATCAAATAACCTTAATGCCCTAAAATTATCCTTAATCATTCTTATTTGCCAAATATACCCCTTACAACAGGAGAAGCCTTTTTTTTTCCCCACATCTGCCATCAGGCTGGCAGCACCTTTAATACGAGCAGATGTTTCTGTTTTGATAGCAAGGAAGACCACATAGACTTTTATTCTCCTACAGGAAAGTGCAGCAAACATGATACATTGGTTCTTAATACTAGAACACACAGCAGATCTGCAACCATTTTAAAACTTGCTTTACTTCAAGGCCCTTAATTTGAAAGCTCTTTAAAAAGCGAAAGGTAAACTTCCTTAGTAGAAAGGTTCCTTACTTCCACAAAACACTAAACCACAAAAACAAAACCCAATGACCATGGTGGTCAAAGGTCTTTTAATATTTTCACCTGTGGCTTTTAAGAGAAAAAACAGTATTGTTACAGAGGAAAAATTAAAACTCCTTGATGCGCTGTAAGATTTTTTAAATCTGTCTTGAAGTTATAATCTAATTTTGAAAAATTTTCCCATCTTTTGAACTAAAAGACTGTTCAAAAACATAAAAGCTGTTATTTTTATTATTTGAAGTTATAGAAACCTAAGGACACTTTCTAGCATTTCTTTTTTTTTTTAATTTTTTTTTTAACATTTATTTATTTTTGAGACAGAGAGAGACAGAGCATGAATGCAGGAGGGTCAGAGAGAGAGGGAGACACAGAATCTGAAACAGGCTCCAGGCTCCGAGCTGTCAGCACAGAGCCCGACGCGGGGCTTGAACTCACGGACGTGAGATCATGACCTGGGCCGAAGTCGGACGCTCAACCGACTGAGCCACCCAGGCGCCCCAAGCATTTCATTTTTTTAATTATGATTTTCTTTTAAAAATAAATTTAATGTTTATTTTTGAGAGACAGAGACAGAGCGTGAACAGGGAAGGGGCAGAAAGAGAGGGAGACACAGAGTCAGAAGCAGGTTCCAGCCTCTGACCTGTCAGCACAGAGCCCAACACGGAGCTCAAACCCATGAACTGTGAGATCATCATGACCTGAGCCAAAGTCAGATGCTCAACCGACTGAGCCACCCAGGCACCCCCCTAGCATTTTATTTTTAATCTTTGATACCTACAAAATACAAAGACATTGATTTTAAAAGCTGATTAAAATTCTTGAGTCCTCCCAAGTAGTCTGGTAGAGAATATTAAGGTATAATGTTCAAAAACAACTGAAGAAACCTTGAAGGATTTGAGTTCTGTCATTATTCTTAAACTGAATCTGAAGGAACTCAGATCCCTTCCAAGTCCCAGCAGAAACCTTCTCTTTCCCCACCCTAGTCCCACTTGTGTCTGCTCTAAGCTTCCATGTTAGCAGCTCATTCTTTAGACCTAGAAGGCCTCTGTTATCATATTAACTGCTTTTCTCATTGACCTGTATTTGTGAGTCTGTGTGCACATCTGTCATCCATAAAAGACCAATGCCTGCAGCCATGGAGGAAACTGATCACAAGTCTAAAAGCCTCTTCCTTCCATTTTGCAGCAACTGAGATGCCTTTGTGAGCTTCCTTTCTTCTGCCTGATTTTGAAATGTTGATACTTTCTAGGGTTCTGGCAATATTTCCTACTTTACACACATTGACTTACATGTTCACTGTTTCAAATGTCTTCTACACACTGCTACCTCCTACGTGTGTACCTTTCATATTCACTGTGAGCTCTGGGTCTGTTCTTCTGACTTTCCATCTTGAGTTTCTTCTTGTGGCTTTTGAGCATGTTTGAGAATTTTCAAACACTAAAAAATATTCTCTGATTTACCTAAAATGAATTTCCTTATTAAAGTTATATTCATAATACTATTTTGAGTTTTATCAATGGTAATGATTATTTTTAGCCTACACATGTTATATAAGGGGGAATTATATAGGGTAACTAGTTTTGGAAAAGAGAAGGTTTTGAAGAGAGAAGGGAGAAAGGACATGGTTAAAGAGGCTTTCTTTTTATAAGCATAATGGGGATATCAAATTAATACTTCAGTATTCCAATAAAAGTTCATGATCTTCAGAACACTCTGATATATAATATTTCATTACCTAAACTTGTTATGGGGGAAACGGGAGAAGAAAGGAGACTTGTAGACATATGCTTATCTCTTAAGGGGTGGGATCATAGAAGTGATACAGCTTGAGGGCTGATACCAACTATATGTTCAGGACACCTAATACATGTAAGTTCAACTTGGTACATAATTAACTCTGATTTTGTGACATACTAAAGAAATAACAATATACTGTTCTCTTTTGGTATCTCAGTTCTTTTCCCAACTGTATATTGGCTTAATCTTGCCATGGATATCATTTTTGTGGGCCTTCATCAATAGAAATGAATTCTCCCCTCTTGTATTGCAAACTTTGCACTGAATACTAGAGAGTGTCTATTCTCAAGAAGCTTCTATTCTTCTTGAGGGACATCAAGTATATGGATGTACTAAAAGCTCTGATAAGGAATGATATGATATTTAAAATATGTAACAACTGCCTTGTATGACACCACACAATCAGAATGGCTCCCACTTATAAAACTGAGTCTGTGTGCTTGGATGTGTGCTGGTTTAAAGCCCTGACTCGGTCTGGAAGGCAGAGAACGCCGCAGAACATGTAGAGGGGTCTCCAGCCAAGAATGCTGAGAAGAGCCTCAGGGAAATCTTCCCTGAATTAGGATGGATGGGTGGGGCACCTGAGTTGAGTCTTTTAAAACATCAATTGGATCTAAGCAAAGACTTTGTTGGAAAAAGGGAACATGAACATAGAGGCAGGCAGAATTATGTGGAGAATGGAGAGAACTGTGTTTTCATTATTCTGTTTGCTCTTATGGGACGAATTACTGTCACTGGCCCAAAATATCTTTTGTTTTTTTCTTTCTCTCTTCACATACATCCTCCACTCCCACCTATGGCATCTCTCTGTACTGTGCCAGAGGTAGCATTTGTCACTAAGCCTCACTTACCTCTTTTCTTATGTACCCTTCTCTTCCTGCCCTTCCTCTAACCACAGTGATCATCAATGATTTTGAAAGGATCAGAACTTACCTCTCGAGTATATAATAGTCGTAGGTTTTGTGGTTAGGAAAGTTGTTCTCACTGGCCAATATCTCACTTAATTTTAAATGGCAATGAAGATGGAAAACATGAAATTGAAAGTAGAATCAAGACTAGAAATTAGGAAAGTGGATAATAATGGCAAATATTTTCCAGATGAAATTACATAAAATGGTAGATTTGCAGGAAACACATAATCATTTCATTTTTTTTTTTTTTTGCATTATACTTCGCATTATAGTTTTTCTCTTTGTGCACCTATTTAAATTCTCCAGGTTATAAAGGATGGCTCTGTGCCTGGTGGTCCCAATTGCTAAAGACCTGGACTGAGCTATCAGCTGTTGCCAATGGGTTGCCATTGGCAGCTGATCTTGCCATTTTCTTTGAAGGAAAGTTCAAAATACTACCTTCTGTTATATTCTTTTCCAAGAACATCATTTTTGTTTTTATTCTTCCAGGCATTTAGAGAAGAAATTGCACCAATCAACTTAAAAGTTCAAACAGTGAATGATTTATCCAGTCAGCTGTCGCCACTTGACCTACATCCATCTTTAAAGATGTCTCGCCAGCTAGATGACCTTAATATGCGATGGAAACTTTTGCAGGTATCAGTTTATCCCTGTTCATAATCCAGCTTTATACCCCAGTGGGTCCCCAAACCCTGTCTCATTATTCTACCACACACTATCGTTTTCTCTGTCTTTGTTGGTTGTATTTGATAACGGATTTGTAGCATGTAATATAATCAGATATTTGTCTTTCCATATCTTGAACCCAAAGGCCTCATTTATTTATGAATATTTGTTTTAATGTAATTTTATAAGGTACTATTCGTGTGATATTTGTAGAAAACTGCAAAGGGTCAAATAAAGCAATTGAAACCTGTGATAGGTCACAGAAACATTTTCCATAATGGCTCATTTTTCTTACTTTAATTGTGTGTGTGTATGTTTTTTTCTTTTGAAAAGTTAAGAAATCTCTATCTTTCTTCCACTATGTGCTATTTAGGCATCTTGTTCATCTTTTCCAGCTAGCACATTTGTACTAGTGTGGTGTTTACTTTGGGCTTTTAGGTCTTTGCTGCTCTGATGCAGTTATTTCAGTGACTCTGGATAGTACTTGCTCATCCCAGATTTAATAGAGCCACACCCAGAAGGACTCTGTCGTGTTAGTAGGTGTCAGCATTTGCAAGTCACTACACATGCTGGTCAGTCATTTTTTTTGTGTGTGTGCAGCCTTTGCAGAGCTCTGTCATGTTCAAGGGCCAGGTCCTAGGAGTTATGATGATCACTTTATTCCCCCCTGAAAACTAGCAGGATAATTTTAAGTGGAAAATTGAAAAAAATAACTCTTATTTCTATCTTTTGGGCCTAAAATGCAATATTTAATGAGATAAATATGCAATTTGAGGTGGTACACAAAAGCATTTTTATTTTAAAGATATACTATTTTACAGTATACTAGGTTTCCTGAATTCACCCAAATGTTGAAATACCCAGTGGTTTGTATGTCCTTCATGAAGTTGAAGATGTAAGAAAAGAGTGCATAGTATTAGTCGTTTCTGTGTTTGAAAAGAGTGTTAGTAATCTGGGATTAGTAAGGCATGAGCTGTTAAACTCGTACCTGCTTTTCTAGTGAGTGGAACACAGAGGCGTTTGACTTTTACTCCTTTTATCTTCTGCTCCATTTCCCTAATTCATTACCTTCGTGCAGGTATTCCTGTGGTCCATCCTGATGGCCTTCTGCTTCTGTTATCACTATCTTCAATGATTAGAAGTCAAGGAGTACATTATGCTTGAAGGAGGATGTATATTCTCTTATCCTTATCTCTGAGTCTTGTAACTGCTAGAGTTCGGATGTTGCTGGTTGAATAAGGGGAACGAATCTATGCTGGCAGCAACGTCACTATATTTCAGGACTAGCGCCTTCTCTTCTCCTGAACATAGAGTGTGACGTTTGAATGCTTTTTGGCCTTAATGAACGAAGCACTTGCTAATGTAATTTAAATAGCTAACCAGGAGAAACGCGAGCTGCCCAGTGAGCCAGAGATATACACGTTTCATTTAAAGGCCGCCGAAAATAAGATTGACAATCCAAGCGGAACAGCTGACTAGCACTACATAGACCAGGACCAGGGAAAAGAAAATGCAAGTGTCAGTAGGCTGTGTACAGTTGTTATTGATTTGCATTTAGTTTCTCGGTATACCAACTTTGCATTTTCATAACAGAGAGCTAACTGTGAGGACAAGTCCAGAGAGTATGCTAATTGACTGGTATACACTTGAATACCCCCACATCGAGATGATTGGACACAAAGTTGGAGGCAAATAAGGCATTCCCTACTCATATATCCTTTCTCTCTCCATCTGTCTCTACCTGTCTATGAATCTCTCATCTAAGTCTGTCTCTTTGTCTTTCTGTCTTTCTGTCTGTCTGTCATCATCTGTTTTTTTCCCTTGGGGTATTTTATTTTATTATTATTATTATTTATTTATTTATTTTTTTACATTTATTTATTTTTGAGAGACAGAGACAGAGCGTGAGTAAGGGAGAGGCAGAGACGGAGAGAGACAGAATCCGAAGCAGGCTCCAGGCTCTGAGCTGTCAGCACAGAGCCTGACGCGGGGCTCGAACCCATGAACCATGAGATCATGACCTGAGCCAAAGTCGGACGCTTAACCGACTGAGCCACCCAGGCACCCCTTATTTTATTATTTTTAAAGTTTATTTATTTATTTTGAGAGAGAGAGAGAGTGCAAGCAGGGAAGGGGCAGAGAGAAGGAGAAACAGAATCCCAAGCAGGCTTCGCACTCTTAGTGCTGAGCCTGATGCAGGGCTTGAACTCACAAACCATGAGATCATGACCTGAGCTGAGATCAAGAGTGAGATGCTTAACCAACTGAACCACCAAGGTGCCCCTCCCTTGGGGTATTTTAGCCTTCTTTTCCATTTGTTCCCTGTGACACTTTTTACCACCTTCCTTACAAAAGAGAGATGAGTAGCCACTGGCCATGGCCACATCTTGACTTTAGATGCCTTAGCACTTTACTGCTTTCAAGGCAATAGAGAGGAACAGGAAAGCAAAAGATCCTGGCACCAGATGAGCTGGCTGTGGATACCAGTGCTGTCAGGTGCTAACTTTATGTCCTTGGACAGCTCTTTGTGTCCCAGGTGTCTCATCTGTAAAGCGGTGATAATATTAAATAATACCTAATACGGCTGTTGTGAAGGCTAAAAAAGTTAATTTGTATAAACTGCTTAGAAGAGTTCCTGGCACTATTTGCTGTCATTTGGTACCAGAAGAAATCTGTTTTAATCCCAGTACTTTGATTCCGGAGATAGAGGAGTCTATACAAGCAATCATATCTTGGGCTGTAGCATCATTTAGGATAATACTTAAATTAAGTATGTTATTAAAGTCCTTGTGTTCAAATCACATCATTTCTTGCATGTGTATGTGCAGGTTTCTGTGGATGATCGCCTTAAACAGCTTCAGGAAGCCCATAGAGATTTTGGGCCATCATCTCAGCATTTTCTTTCTAGTAAGTACTAATAAACTTCACTGTTCTCATTAAGTGAATGAATGAACATGTTCTTTTCTTTTCCCTCAACAAGCCATATTCTTTGCTACAAATATATTTGCTTGTGTAAGATAAATATATAAAAGGAAGTATTAAGATCAATTACAGTATTGGTTATTGGTTATTAAGGTAATAATCTGGTCACGATCGAAAAGTCTTTGAAGTGGAGCAAAACTGAACTCATTCTTAGCTATGGTTTTTCCCTGTACTATCTGCTATAATAACTAATGTATTATCTTATTACCATTGCTGTATCATAAGTCAAGGTCATGAACTTTGTCACATTAAAGAAATCTTTTTATATTTTAAGATTTCTAATTTTTCTTCTTAAAAAGCATTTATTAATTTAAAATGCACCTGTAGCTTTAGAAATAAATTTTTAAAAACTCCACACAAATCTTTGAAATTTTTGTTTATTAGGTTCACTGTGATCATAGTTAGCTTTTCTCCTGGTCAAATATTGCCAATTTAGCCAAACCATATATGTAGATTTTTACATAATATTCTGCAACTGAAGTTTTTAGTTTTATGGATTATTGATGAGATCTTATATAGGTAATTTGAGCTCCTACTTTATTTTTCACTCCCTACTTGGAAAACTAAAGAATGTAGGATTTAGAGTCACCGAAATTGAGATGACAATATTAATTCTGCATTTTATCAGACCTGTAGGTTGCTGAAAATTCATTTCTTTGTCTTAAAATTATGATAATCATACTTATTTTTTCTGATTGCCTTGAAAATTAAGTGAGAAAGCATACTGAGTTTCACAGGCACCTTTCACGATTCTTGGCACCAATGCTTTCACTGACTTAATTTTTTTCCTTTTATTTTCTCTGGCAAACATGTCAGAAAAGTTTGTTCAACTTAGTTTAAGTGAAAGTTTAAAACTTAAGGCAAAGCTTATTTCCCGCTTATGACAACTTCTTTGTATCTTTATAATAGTAGAGAAAACTGAAGTAATACCATGTCTTCCAACTAAATTGATTACATTTATATTTTCCCTTAATCTTTTGTCATGGTTGGTAATCTGCATTACCTCAGTTCAAGGTCAGGCTTCTCTCTTTTCACTGTTTCAAGAATCTGAATTAGTCATTTCCTGCCCTTTCTGTCCTATACCTCTCCGGGGCTCATGCACCCCCTTCCCGTCCCCCTTCCAGCCTCCGCCCACCCACACGTGTTTTCTGTTTCACACACCTGAGCCATTAGATAGCCTGTCTTCGAGTGATTGTAGTACTTATTGGAATATATTAGGTGCCAGGATGCATTTCTAAAGTTTGGATGCCATCAGTGTTGATAAAGTAAGTAAGTTTGCAGTATATTCATTAGGTATGAACTACATCGTATTTCCTAAACTTAATGTTATAGAGTGTAAAGCTCTGTGCTAAGACCAAACTAAAGAGCGATTTAACAAATAATTGTGATTCTCCTTTTAGTTCTAAGGTTGAGTTATCTCTTCGTATTGATGAAACCCTACACTTTCACCTAGCAACCAGCCTTCCATAATAAAAATCCAACTCATGTTCTTTAGGAAATGAAACGTGGTAAAATTCACATGCACTTTGTGAAACGTAAGCACATTGCCTTTTATTGTCTAGAACTGATAGTCCAAGGAGGTCAGAGTTATTCAAATCAAAACAATTACTAAAATGAATGGAGAAGTGTAAACAAAATCCCAATTAATAAATTGAGTAATTGTTATCTCTTGCTGCTTGGAATTGTTGCCTTTATTATATTCCTTGGACTTTAGCCATGGTTATAAAAGGAGTCTGTTTAGTTAGACACAAAATAAAAACTGACCTATTAGCCTGGTGCCAACACTGAAATGAGGTTGGCTCTAATGAGAGATTTAATATACTTAGTTCCACATGTTCATCACCCTTTTAGATTTTCATGGACATAGTTGGAGAAGGGAGTGCTTACATGTTATAAAGAGAAGAATCATTGAATAGAAAAATGGCTGAACTAGTGGTCAGAAATCTTGAAATCATGCCTGAGCTCTGCCATTTATTTATGGGGCAAGTTATTTCATTTCTAAGTATTTATTTTTTATTTTGTTTTTTCTATATTTATCAAATGGAGCTCTAATATGTATTTGTTGGCCTTCTTATCGGTAGATAAATTTGAAAATGCTTTGCAGAGGTTAGAATGCTTTATTTTTGTAAGATATTAATATGACATGAAATTCAGAAAAAAATCATTGATGACAACTGGCTATATGAGAGTCTAGTGATAATTGCAAAGATTTGTTTCTTTGCAATATGCTTGTTTATTAGTTCATTTAGCAAAATTCCTTAATAGCCCCAGCTTTACATGCATAACTCTTCTTAAGTAAGTCTTAAAATAATTGGCTTATGTAGGAATAATATGTTTTTATAAGTAAGGAATAACAGGAATTATAAAAAATAAGTACCTCAGTAAAACAAAACATAAAATCACAATCATAGTGATGTCTAATGTAAAAGTAAGAAACTATATTTTGTGTGTATTTCAGATTAAAGAAGTATTTGGGATTCTTCTATCCAGATAATTACTTTGTTTTTTTTACAATCCTTTGCCTATGTTTATCTTAATCTTTCCTTTTTAAAATTCATCCAGATGAGTTTGTTTAAATGCCATCTGTCCTAGATAGTTACTCCTGTGAAACAAAGTAAAGCACGGTATTAATGATCTGGAAAATTCATTCTTGAGAAATCTAGTTTATAATCTGGATATACCAGGTAAAATTAATTTTGGTTTTAGCTTAATCAAAAAATATGTACAGAGCACATTTTCCAGATAGCACTAAGTTTTAAATTGGGGTGGTTGTAAATAAAAAAAAAAAAAACCTTGATTTTTAAGAGTATTTTTAGCAACAGGTTCAATTAGTTAGAGTTGGTCTTAGAAAATGAACCTATGTTGTTTCTTTCCTTGCTTCAAATGAATCTTTAAAAAGCCACTCTTTGTTTAGCCTAGCAGATTTCATAATTATAGGAATCCAGCTCAAAAACCAGAGCAGTTCTCGGTGAATTTGCTGTAAAATGTGTTCAGTTGTTTTGCATTATGGCATAAGGCTTTTTGGGTGAGCAGTGTTTCCAATAACCTCCCTTTGTTTCTTCAGCTTCAGTCCAGCTGCCGTGGCAAAGATCCATTTCACATAATAAAGTGCCCTATTACATCAAGTAAGTTGATTTTAATTCTCCTTTATGATACAAAAAGTAAAGTTATGTTGATAACTTAAGAGGCTTTCCTCTGTAACTTTTGAAAGTGGAATTCAATCCTACTATCTGAAGGAAACTATATATATTTAATATTTAAAAGAAGTTAGCTTAAAAATCAGAGTAATATTTGCAGTTTATAAGTTTATGAGGTTCGTTTAAAAATCAGAGTAATATTTGCAGTTTATAAGGTTAGGGCTGTTGGCATGTTTAGCATATATATTTTTTTTAAAGATATTAAAATATTTGGGGAAAATAACAAAATTTCTAAACATGTTAGACTCTTGGGGCGCCTGGCTGGCTCAGTCAGTAGAGCATGCAACTCTTGATCTTGGCGTTGTGAGCTCAAGCCCCACGTTGGGTATAGAGATTACTTAAAAATAAAATCTTTAAATAAATAAGTATGTCAAAGTCTTGACACAATGATGTTTCTCAAACTGCACTGATTGTAAAGAAAAGGAAGTCAGAGGCTGGGTAAATTGATGTGTCTTTATTGAGAGAAGATTTATTCATCTGATCCAAATTTAAACCATTCGAAAAATTTTTACATTTCCATTACTATAAAAATAACAACAATAATAATAATAGTAATAATAATAATAAATATATAGCAATAGTTACAGCATAGAGAATTTTAATTTGTGGGGTGAATATTGACTTGAATATTACAGGTTTAGGCATAAATCTGATGTACTGCAGTAGACAGAATCATGGCCCCACAAAGATGCCCACGCCCTGATCCCTGGATGTGAATATTAGGTTAACGTGAAGATGGAGAAAGGGGCATGAGTCAGGGAATGCTTGCAGCCTCTCAAAACTGAAAAAGGCAAGCAAATGGGATTCTTTTAGAACCTCTGGGGAGGAACACAGACCTGCAAACCTCAATTTTAGCTTAGAGACGCATTGATTTTGGAGTCCTTTGTTACAGGCAACAATAGAAAATGAATACATGTACTATACAAAATAGGGAAGTCAATGAAATTATTTGAGATTAAGTTATTTTACTCATGACAAGGCATTTTTATTATATGAGTTTTTAAAAATGTTAATTGGATCCAACAAGGCGGATTTTTGTTTTTACTGGATAAAGAAAATATTCATTCTCTTGCTTGATTGTGTTATATAAGTGGTTATCTGTTTGATTTGGCATTTTGAAAATCTATCTTTAATTTTAGCACTACTACTAAAAGAGGAATTTCTGTATGTAGGTTGGTTATATAGGACTAGAAAAGACATTGTCTAAGAGTTTCACTGATTTGGGTTTTTTATAAACTTCAATATATATATGTGTGTATATATATGTCTATATATGTGTATATATGTGTATATGTGTGTGTGTGTGTGTGTGTGTGTGTGTGTATGTATATATTTAACGATGGCCAATATTTTTAATGTGACCTGTAGGATTGTAGCATCCCAAAATATCTTCAGCATCATTAATGAAAAATTGAATTTTCTTAAATATATATAGTTTTAGTGTTAACTGTCTTTTAGGACTTCGAAATATGTACTTAGAAATCTGCTCAGATATATAGGGTACATAGGATGAACTGTCTTATTTCTAGAAAACTTTTTAACCCGGTTCTTCCATTACCTGCTCTGTTATGTAACTTAACAGTTTATTTCTTCATAAACAAGTACATCGATCTCTGAAGGTAGGGTTATATGAGCCAGTATTTCCACATGAATTATTATGAAAAAATTTTAATTCTCAAATAAATTAATAAGCAAGTAAATAATGAGTGAAACGCTTTTAATATACACTTCCGTTTGCATGACTGCACAACTAAGTAGAGGAAGAATGTTAAAAGCAAATTTAGCATGATTGTCATGCAACTAGTTTCCTGGAGCATATTAGGATGTATTAATTTGGCCAAAAAGAAAGTAAGAATCAGGAAGAAATTTAGTTATATTCAATATGTGAGTATACAGTTTTGTATACTCTAATGCCAGAATATCGCAAGAAAGTTGAAAGGAGAATGGGAAGAGCACACTGTCTTTATTTCATGTTTTAATTTTACAGATTAGCTAAAACATACTTTGATGGCTTCCCAATGCATTTCTTTCTCTGTAGGTATTTATTTTGAGGTGTATCACAGTGGTTCTAGGACTCATTTGTTTCTATAAAAGGATAGAATATAGATCTCATCTGTAAGAGTCTGGGTAGCATAAATCCCTCTATGTTAATATCTTAAGTTGAAACTCATATCTTTAAATTATATTTGCTGCTTCAAACGTAGACCTTCCAAAGCTGATCTAGTTATTTTTTCTTTTCTAATATAATCCAATGACAGCTCATTGTTCTATCGGTTTAAGGAAACCTGAAATGGCTCTTGTTGCCTGCATAATATACAAAAATCTACCCATAAAAGCCAGATTTCTTTCTGTCTGAATTATTAGTCCTGTGTTTGTGGGGTACCTGGGTGGCTCAGTCGGTTTAAGCGTCCGACTTCGGCTCAGGTCATGATCTCACGGCTCTTGAGTCCAAGTCCCGCATCGGGCTCTGTGCTGACAGCTCAGAGCCTGGAGCCTGCTTCGGATTCTGTGTCTCCCTCTGTCTCTGCCCCTCCCCTGCTCATGCTCTGTCTCTCTCTGTCTCAAAAGTAAATAAAAACATTTAAAAAAAGTTTAAATTATATTTGCTGCTTCAAAGGTAGGCCTTCCAAAGCTGATCTAGTTTTATTTTTCTTTTCTAATATAATCCAATGACAGCTCATTGTTCTAGCAGTTTAAGGAAACCTGAAATGGCTCTTGCTGCCTTCATAATATACAAAAATCTACCCATAAAAGCCAGATTTCTTTCTGTCTGAATTTTTAGTCATGTGTTTGTGGTTTGCACACGTTTTTCATTTCCTCAGCTAAAAGTTAATATCCAAGGAGTTTCAGGCATAAAGGGAAGAACAAGTAAAAGCTTTGGGTTGGGGCACCTGGGAGGCTTAGTCAGTTAAGCATCTGACTCTTGATTTCAGCTCAGGTCATGATCTCATGGTCATGAGCTGGAGCCCCTCGTCAGAGTCAGGCTCATGCTGGGTGTGGAGCCTGCTTGAGATTCTCTCTCTCTCTCTCTCTCTCTCTCTCTCACTCTCACTCTCTCACTTTCTCTCTCCATCTGCCCCTCCCGTATTCATGTGAGCACACTCTCTCTCTTTCAAAAAAAAATAATAAAAGCTTTGGTTTGAACTTTCCTAATAAGTCACATTAATCATATAAAACTCATTGCTTCTCATTTTGATCCAGAAATAATAATGACAATTAGTCACAGTGGGTGATAACAATTATCGAAATGAATTATATTTTTTGGATTTTCATTTGCCAGCCACTGCACTAATCCTGTGCATGGATTCTCTCCACTGAAGCATAGGTACTGTCATTACCCCCATTTACAGGCAAGGCTTAGACAACAGGCACACACAGAGCTTGCTTGAGTCACACAGCCAGTACATGGAGAAACTAGTGTTCAAACCCGGGGACTGACTCCAGCTCCTGCCCTCTTGACCACTGTGAACCACAGCATTGGTTGCGGTAGAGAACAGAAATTTTTAGTCACGTGGACAATTTGGGTAGATGAAGGCTTATATTTAGGAAGGAGTGGTCAGGTGGAGAAGATAGGAGCAAACCTTTTTTTTCATACTATGGACTGGTTGCTATTTATTATGCACCCACTATGTGCCAGGAATTGAACGCAGAGCTAATTTTCATAGGCTAATTTCTGTCAGGTAGTATAGGCTTTATATGTTTCAGGAAATGTCACACCGCGGTACCGTAATGGACAAAGGTGCTTTCCTATAGGTAGAAAAATGTAGTTCTCTACCGTCCTGCCAGTTGGATCTTGACAGGATTTCAGAGGTAGGGGAACAAGGTCTGTGGCCCCCCACTACCTTTCCTCATTTACATGGTCAGAGATTTCTGTCATTGGATAGATTTCCATCCATGAGCAGGATGCTCAACAAAGCTGGCTCATAAGTCCCGTAGGGCTTTTAGCTTAACTACAGAAATTTAAAAAAAAAAAAAATTAATGTTTATTTTTGAGAGAGAGAGACAGAGAAACAGAGTGTGATGGGGGAGGGGGAGGGACAGAGAGAGGGAGACACAGAATCACAGGCAAGTCTCCAGGCTCTGAGCTGTCAGCACAGAGCCCAACGACATGGGGCTGAAACTTACAGGCTGTGAGATCATGACCTGAGCTGAACTCCAGTGCTCAGGTGCTCATCCGACTGAGCCACCCAGGCACCCCAGGGCTTTTAGCATAGATGTCCATCCTGTTCATAAGTCATACTCTTTCATAGACTTTAGTAAGGTGAAGTTAGGAAGTATGGTTTTCCTTTCTCCCTCTACGATGTCATCTCTGAAGCCAGAGTGCATGACTTTTCAGTAAGCTTTAGCCTTGGTAGAAATGATTACACTGCTCTCGTGACAAGGCTTCACACTCACATCTTAACAGTCCTCTGGCTCTATTTTTCCCACGAGAATCTGAGGTGCAGACCTAAATTCTTTATAGGATTCTAGGTGTTCTCCTACACACAGCTTTAATATGAACATTTTAGTAATGGCTTCTTAATTCATAATATATATTGCATTCTCTAAAACTGACATCCCTCAATATTATAGTGTATAGTCATCAGAATATATGATCTTTACCTTCAAATACCACTACTATGCATACTCTAGCTTACTCTAACTCCCCTTGATGAACAGGTCTAAATCAGAATTTTCCTTAATTTATTGTATCTCCTATATAGTTTCCTTTTCTATTCTTGTGTCCATTAAGGATAATTCCCCTTTCTTGCCTCCCAAGGGCATTCTCTGCTGCCCTAATCTGTCAATTTCCGGGGAAAATAACAGTTTATAGCTGTAAATGAAATCTTGGAGAGCGAGTAGCTGTTCTTTATAGCAGTCATGCAGTTTATTTGCATAAACTGTATATACTTGTCTCATTATATATGTACAGTCTAAAGGAGAGAATT